AGACGTCCGAGGAATATTATTTATCTTAAGAGTTTGTCAGGACCACGATGGTATAAATACCAACAACAAAACAAAATAAAAAACCAATGGACCATCTAGGGACACAGAGCAGAACGAGCATTATTCAGGCTCAAGCGTGTCCAAGATGCAATCGTGTGAGGTTGCTGACCCAGAGGTGAAGAGCTTTACAAAGCTGATGTAGCAAAGAGGATTTTTTTTTTTAATTTTTTTTTCAACGTTTATTTATTTTTGCGACAGAGAGAGACAGAGCATGAACGGGGGAGGGGCAGAGAGAGAGGAAGACACAGAATCGGAAACAGGCTCCAGGCTCTGAGCCATCAGCCCAGAGCCTGACGCGGGGCTCGAACTCCCGGACCGCGAGATCGTGACCTGGCTGAAGTCGGACGTTTAACCGACTGCGCCACCCAGGCGCCCCGCAAAGAGGATTTTTATTTCTAAGATGAACAAATCCAATGTTTTAATGAGCAAATTGGACATGAAACAGATTCCCATAAATGCAAAGAAGTGGTTTTGATATGCTTTATTTTCCATTTAAAAATCAAGGGATTTAAATATAGCACCCATGCCCCACTTCTATTCACATAAAGGGAAAATATGCTATGCCAAGCGGTGAAAAGTGGATTTGTTGGCTTAATTTGGTCTTCAATCTGGCATTTTCCATGAAGTAATTTTCCCTGAGTTCTCAACTGTTTTGCCCGTGAGGGCAAAAACCTAACTCTTCCTCAAATTTTTGAACACGCTTTGCGATAGGCTTTCAGGTTAATTCTTACTCGTCTTCTCTATCGGAACATGTTTTTGTGTGCCAATATCCTTAAAGATGTCACCACAGTCCTGATATTTGAACGAACGTCAGATATGGGTTTATTGCCCACTGTGCTTGGATAGGTAAGCATTGAAGCGAACTATTTCTCAGTTGGGGATTAGCTACGAATTGCCCCATCCATTTGAAAAATGTAATTCATCACAAAGACTAATCATGTGTATGTGAAGGAAAAAGGAAGTGTGTGTCATTCATTGTTAGAGTAATAAAGAAGAAATTACACCTTATCTTATAATTTCACACTTCTCTTCCTTTACCCCTGGGTGTTTTCTCGAGTCTCAGAATAGATCATAGCACTTGACTAATTAATTCAAATAGACACTTTTTGCTTTGATAAAAGGGATGGGATGGAGGCCAATGAAATCAGTTTCTGAAGTTTGAGGTTGCTAGTCACTACACGCACCAAAAACGCCTCTTCTGATGTATTTTACCAACAATAAAATGGCTTCTCTAGCAAACCAAACTGGGAGCACCTGAAATCTCCTCTGATATGTAGAAAGACTTGGTTGGAGTCAGACGTGGAAAAGCATACCACACTGATAATAAAGCTGAACAATGAGAAAGTCACACAGATTATTTCAACATGTCTTTGCAGAACCCAGCCTGGGAAAAGGTTGGGATCAGTGTGCTTCATCGGATAGGTCTTCTGACAAGAACTTACGCCTACACGCACCTCCTGAAAGGAACTAGAGAGAACTTTTGTATGTCCCTAAAGAGGCAAGGGAGATTCAATATGCAAAGGAAATCTTTCTACTCTAAGATATAAAGACAAAAAAGCAAGGGTCACTAAATTGCCATACATAGAAAAAGAGTATTAGGGGGCGCATGGGCATCTCAGTAGTTTAAGCATCTGACTCTTGATTTCGGCTCATGTCATGATCTCTCGGTTCATGAGAACCCCCCCTGCGTTGGGTTCTGTGCTGACATCATGGAGCCTGCTTGGGATTCTCTCTCTCCCTCTCTCTCTGTGGCTCCCCCACTTGAGCTCTCTCTCTCTCTCAAAATAAGTGAACTTAAAAAAAAAAGAGTAAGGGTACTAGTTCCTGTTATAGAATCTCACAGGGACAAACACAAAAGCGGCTATGTACGTCCGCACCAGAAATTACTGAGGGGCGGGGAAGCTGGGGGGGTGGGGCAGTGGCAGAAATGGCTCGGACAGAGGCTTCTTTTACACCTGTAGGAGAGGATGCTCCAAGTGTCCCCTGCGTGTCCTTTAGTCACACGGACCCTCCTGAACCACTTCATTTCTCTTTCCATCTGTGACACATTATCTCTCTCTGCCCCTGCGTCCCCTGTCCCCGTTCTTGAACTCTTTTTGTCCCCTTACACTGGAAGTATTGTTTCACAGTGACTAGAAGGAATAAGAGCCAGAAAGTACGCGCGCACAGGGACGCCCAGCCTCACTGGGCTGACGGCAGTCTGATCCACTCCAACCCCCCTTCGCCCACCAGCCAGCCAGAGGTGATTAAAACACAACTCAGAACGTGCCCCTTCACGGCTTCCAACCCTCCACGTCTCCCCATCGTGCTCAGAATAAAAACCAAAGTTCTCATCGTGCCCACAAAGCCACTGTCAACAGGCCTTGCCTGACTTCCTCCAGCCCCATGTCAGCCTGCTATAAACCTTCCTTCTGTTCCTCAAGGGGAAGAAGCTTCCTCCTGCTTTAGGACCTGTGTCTGCTCCCAGCTCTGCCCGGCATGCAGGGCATCTCCTATCTGGATTTGGATGTCAGCATGAACCTCACCTCCCCAGGGAGGTCCTCCTACAGCAAACCCCATACCGAGCGGCCTCATCCCCAGCACCGTTTGCCTCGTCTGTCGCCTCCGCTGGAACTTAACGTTGCCGGGGCACAGCCCCGGATCCCCAGAGCCACAGCAATTCCTGGCACGGGGCAGGTGCTCCCCAAATATCTGCCCAACAAACAAGGCTGCCACTTCTTTGTTGAACGCTACAATAATACCGCTGTCCTTTCAGGAGGATCTGGCCTTCTTTCATCTTGTGGACACTTGCAGAAAGAAAGACCGCTCCATTACTATGCAAGCACATTCCCATTAACGTGACGTGACATTACCGTTGCTTTTGTTCTTCCCAATTTGCTCACTCTATCTGATCCATAATTGCATCTAGTGTCTCACTATACTTGCTTATGCAACTTGAGTCGAATACTTCCGCGCACCGCGTGGTCTATTCATAGGTCTGCTTTGCATTTTGTCTGTTTACTTCACTTTCGTGTCCTCAAAACAAATACGTGGGCGCCTTGCCTCAAAACAAATGCACGCGTGTCCCTTCCCCCGCAGCATCCCTATAGGATGCACTGTGGCTCACACCATCCAAACGTCCATTAAGGCACCTGTCGATTAGCAAATCTGACCTAAAAGGCGAAAATATCTTCCTTGGGTCAGAAAGGTTACAGAGCTCTCACCATTGTCTTGCAGAGCATACAAATCCTCCCCCAGCTGTGGCAAAGAAAGAACGTGATTAAAGGATTTTTTTGCAGGGCTTCATTGGGACTAGTCAAGTCTGTACTTTTAGTTTGCTTTGGTGAAAAACAGAAAAGGGCATCAGAGAGCTCTTCTGCGTGTATCCAGCGAGGAAAGGAAAAACCAAAAGGGGCAGGGAGAGCGGCTTTGCATCCCAAGAGGCTACAGGCACCGGGGTCAGGGCATTCAGGGAGAAGCGCAACCCCTGTTTTTCTCTCGTGAATTCCGTCCACTTGAACCTGGTTACCCAATGTGACTTTTGCTTTCCTTCACAGGAGGTGAGGGGGACCAGCGCATCGTAGGCGGGCTCTTTCCCATAGGCCAGGAGCTAGAATTCGTGCAGAGGAACCTCTGGGCTTCTGCGGATCCTTGAAGGGCCGGGAGGGGCGGGGGTGGGGGTGGGGCCCGGAGAGAAAACCATCTTCGGCATCTTTCCAAGTCACCCCTGCTGGCGCACAACTCTGACAATTGCTCAGCGCTCCTGAGACTCACACCCCCCCCTCCCCCCGATGCCACCATCTCCAGCTGGCCCCGCTCCTCCGCACACACCTCCCATCCTCGCGCTGGCCACATCCCGGGGCCGGAGCCACCGTCCTTTCTGAACCTGCACCTCAGCTCCATATTCTCTCCTCACCCCTCCTTGTTCTTGGCCCAGTACCCACACCCGCGTGTCTGTGAGAGGGCGGGAGCCCGGCTTCTGGAAGGGACGATGGGCCGACTCCAAGGACCTCATCACACTGGCCGGCCTCCTACCCCAGGAGGACTTTTCCCTCCCCCTCCCTTATTCTCCACTAGCTCAGCCCAGTACTTAAAAATCTGCCACCTCCTGTTCCAGCAGGGTTGAGCCTGATCTGTGCCCCCGTCACATGTCTTCGATCAACTCTTCCTCGCCTGTTTAATTTAGATTTGGGACGGCTAACGTCAAGTGGGGTGGCAGGGCACCTGGCGGTCACGCTGTGTTTTCCTAGCTCATCCACGCCTCCATGTCTGTCCTGCCTCCTCCTCTGTTCCCGAACCTCCCATACCTCCGCCCGTTCTTCATCCTCAGCCGGTGACCCTGCTTTCGGGATCCCTGGGGAAGCAGAAGATACCAGAGCAGGTGTCCCCCAGCTCCTCTCACCCCCATCACCCTGCGCTCCTGCACGGGCGCTCCGGTACCCCTCCTTCGCTGTCTCTGCAGAGACCCTATCCTTCCCTGGCCAGTCAGGAAGCTGCAAACCTAGTGGGCCCTGTTGTACCATTCCCTGGGCTTCACAGCTTCAGAGAATACGAACGTTAGCGACATTTTTGCATTGGTGCATACATACTCATATGCTAATAAAACATATACCTGTTGTAAATTTGCTCATCGGAAGCTTCTGAGGGGTAGCTACTGAAATCTCGCTTTACACGGACCGAAAGGAGAGAGAAATTCGCCATCTCCCATTCTTGGAAGTCAAAGGAAACATCCTATTTGCCACAATGGGGTTTTCCTCCCTCAGTCGCTAAGTCGGTTTGCACCTTTCTAACTGCGTATAAATGACAGGTGTGCTGAGCTGGCTTTTATTCAAGGCCACGTACACTGCTCACCCCAGGGCTGAAAGCTCTTTCAGGGTCTCTCTGCCGTGGGTGACCCATCATCACGCTGCTGTGCTGGGCTATGTCCCAACCACAAAGTTCAAGGGCTTAAAAACAATTACCTCTTCGAGGACATCAGCAAGCTTACTGAGGATCTCTTCAGGAAGGCTCTGGAACGTTGGGACACTGCAAAAGCAAACAGAGAAGATGCTGAAGCAACTTCCTTCCACCAACCAAACAGCAACGTGCAACAGCAAACGTTTCACGACCAAGAACCTGCGGATGAAGACGAAAGCACGGACGCGAGCGTGACTTGATGACCGACAGGGAAAAGGCATGTTGTACCAGGGAGAACACAGAAGTGGGCCAGAGCCGAGGTTAAAGCCCACTTATCATCATAGATGCCTCGGCTATAACGGGGGAAAAAACAGTTTCTTCTTTACCAGTCTTCTCTCACCAGATTCCTCTCTAGGTCCCTCTGTACCTACACACACGCACGCACACAATGACGCACACTCCCTTCTACAGGACACCTCTACTCATTCTTTAGGACACGGCTTGAATGATGATACACTCACACCTGCAAGCATTCATTCAACAACCTTGGAAGCTTGCTTTCTCCCCAACCCCCTCCAGCCAGGTCAGGTTCTCCCCCTGAGAGCTTCTTTATCCCCTGCTCTAGCAGTCATTAGATATTTGATCAGGGATTTGTTCTGGGGTATTCTCCCTGCGAGAATTAAAATTCCACAAAAATAAGAACAGCTTATCTGTCTTATTCAACTCCTGTATTTTCCATCATTTACAAACAACGACACGTTAGTGCATGTAGAGCAAAGTTATGAAAGCAGGGATGTGTGAAGGCATCCCGGGACAATGATAAGGAGCAGATCAGACGTGGAGAAAAAAAGCCAGACTCAGTAGGCCAGGAAAATATTAGTTTCCCTTACCTCCTCCTTCTCTAATTTTTCCACCCAATGACCAGCAAAGGAAAATACGGAGCGATGCTAAATGCACAGACCAACAAAAGTTCTTTTATATGTGAAATAGTAATGACTTCAAAAGAAATAAACACACCCATCAACATGTCATTCTTGAAACTCCACTGGAAAGCCTAACTGGGATACAGAATTCAAGTCTCATATAATCATACTTCAATGCTTAAATAGAAGGCTATAATGAGTGCATCTACATTTGCGTATCTGATATTTGACTTAGCAAATAATTCAGGCTTGGTTAGAACAATACAATGAAAGAAATCAGAGCATACCGTTCATCTGTCTCTCTGATTCCTATTACTTGGTGTAAAGCCTACTGACAACATCCCAAGGTCTTTATTCAGAGGTAGAACGGTTCACCCAGGCCCATCTGTTCCACCAGATTTACTGCTATGGTCTTAGCCGTGTGGGTTTTAATTTCCAGAAGGCAGTCTATTTCAGCAGCTGGATGGAACTTCTCACAGAAACAGGGGAAGACAGAGGAAACTATTTCCATGAGTGATGCAGGTGGAAAAATCTACCCCTTCCTTGTTCTTTTAATGAGCTATCTCTCAGCATCTCCTAAGATGGAAGGGTGATCAGAATGCTTCTATCCCAGTGGGTATTGGTGTGAACCACAAACTACAGTCGAGTTTTCCTCATATTATAATTGGCTCCCTTCCTTAGACAAGCCTGTAGTCTCTTCTATGCTCCACTTCATCTGAACTATATGCTATGTCCATGCCAATCCATACCATAATAATTCCACGTTCTGGAGAGTTCTTGTCCACAAGAAAAAAAAAATTAGTATGTGCTTGATGACATAATACATTCAGCAAAAACATAAACATTAAATGGTAGGAAGAGCACTTTAAATACCTTTTACAACTGTGTTTTTTCAGCTCTGAGGTATAAATGACAAATAGAATGAGATATTTAAAGTGTACGTCCTGATACATGTACACATCGTCAAAGGGCTCATCCCATCTAGGTAATTAACACGCGTGTTACCGCACGTATTTATCTTTTTTTTTTTTTTTGGTGGAAAATATTTGCAGTTTTACTCCATTAGCACATTTCACGGTGTTACCCCTCATCATCACCATGTGATACGTTAGATATAGACCTTATTCATCCTAAGCTGTACCTGAAAGTTTGTATCATTTTAACCAGCATCTTCCTGTCTCCTCCACCCTCCAGCCCCCCGCACCCACGTTAAGACCCAATGTTTCTATGACCTTGACTTTTTACTTCGATTCCACATACACGTGATAGCATACGGTATTCGTCTTTTTCAGTCTGGCCTTGTTTCACTTAGCGTTAAGGCCTTCAAGGTCCAGCCATGTTGCAAATGTGAACTTCCTTCTTTCTCGTCTGAATAATATTCTGTTGTATGCCTATCCTAATCTTTGACAATTTTAAATGTCTCAAAGCATTCAGTGGCATTTGTTACCAACAAAGATTAAGGCTGATTTTTAAGAAGAAACATTGTGAAAAAATGGTAACCACTGGGGAACTTCTAAATTTAACCAAATGGAGAGCAACTGACAAAAAACCAAATGGCTTCACTTTAATAAATTGCTTTGAATATACTTCTGTAGCTATCTTTAAAATCCTAAGACCTTTATCATTACAAACACTATATTTTTAAATTTATTTATTTTGAGAGAGAGTAAGAGAGAGAGAGCACGTGTGCTAACAGTGAGGAGCCCAACATGAGGCTCGAACCCACGAATCATGAGATCATGACCTGAGCTGAAATCAAGAGTCAGGTGTTTAACCAAGTGAGCCACCCAGGCATCGCCTCTCATAGGATTAATTTCCTTTCTAAGAATTATTGGTTCACCAAGAGCTTCAACACCAAGAACAAAACAATTGAGGATATTCATAATTTGGAATTCTACCCCATGAAATATGTTGGTTAAATTTCCCCCAAACATCAAAAGACATTCATGTAGACTCTACTAATTTGCACATAAAATTCAAGATGAAGTTGTTTATGATTTAGAAAACTGAAGGCAAAATAATTATAAGGACAAACTTCCAGAAAATGCTTCAACAGTAGAGAAGAATATTTTAAGTGAAAAATAATTTATTATAACAATCTTCATGCTAATTACAAGTAATTCTTACACATCTATTAAGACTGCTGATTCCCCTAAGGACTTGCAATAGGCCTGAAGTTACAGAATGTGTTTGAGTGCAATGTAATAGAGATGATTTAATGCCTGTAAAGCTCTGCCATTGGTTTTTCTAATGGAATCAAGTAAGGACTTGGAATTTGCAATTTGCAAAGACAATAATACAAGACGAGATTTGAGTCTCTCCTATTGGCCAGGCACTGGGGTAAGCATTTTATAGAGAACATAAAGTTTTGTTTTACAACCACCTTCTGAAATCACCATTGTTATTGTCATCCCTTTTACAGATTTGACAAGTGTGCCCTTGAGAGTTGGCCTGAGGTGGCACCACCCAACATAAGTGACAGAAGTTGGAAAATCCCCCTCTAAATTACGTGGAGCTCATCACTTATCCACTGGCTGGTATGGTTTACAGTCGCATTATTAGAAAATGCCTCATGCAACTTTCAAAACAGTTCTATAGTCTTTTTGATAGTGATATGGATATGAATAATATTAATAATATTTGATTTATTAACTACCTTTTTATCATGAAAAAAGTTAAACAAATTGAAAGACTGAAAGAATAGTTCAAGAATCACCTGTATCCCTACCACCTAGATTTGCCACTCTTAACACTTGTGCTATCTTTATGTACCTTCAGTTCACCCATTTTTATTTGTGTCTATAAATAGGCTCATAGATCATTTTCAAGGACACATTTCATAGTTGCAGATACCATGAAACTTCACCCCAGTCCCTCACCTGCAGCGTACATATCCGAAAAATGAGAACGTGTGTCTAACTAACTATAGTACCATTGTTATACATAAGAAAATGAACTTCTGTAATAACATCTAGTATCTGTTTCATATTAAAACATTACTTATGTTCAAAAATGTCTTTACTATTTTTTTTTCTTCTTAAACCAGGATCCAGTAAAATTCTGCGCATCAATGTCTCTTGGCTGTTCTGTACCTTGACCTCTAGTCTCTCGTTCTACAACACCCCTCTCCCACCTTCCCCCATGGCATTAACTTTGGAAGAGATTGGACAACTGTCTTATTGGATGTCCCACATTCTGAATTTGTCTTAATGCTTTTATTTCTGCCAATCTACTGTTTGAAAGGAACAATTAACAGAGGGGAGAGAAAACCCAAGTACAAAGGATTTTATTACAGCCATGTGTCAATGAAATTGAAACACTTACAGAATATAGAATTTTATACAGCAGCAGCTTGAAATGTGATGTAAGAGGCTGCAGATTCCCCAAGATCCCTTTTAAGGGGGGTCTCAAAGTCAAAGCAAATAGTGTAACTTGTAATTTGCCTTTAATACCGTATTCTTTCACATGTATACAACAGAATCCCACAGACACCGTACAAAATATGGTGACATCGGGGCACCTGGGTGGCTCAGTGGGTTAAGCATCCGACTTCAGCTCGGGTCATGATCTCGCAGTCTGTGAGTTTGAGCCCCACGTCAGGCTCTGTGCCGACAGCTCAGAACCTGGAGCCTGCTTCGGGTTCTGTGTCTCCCTCTCTCTCTCTGCTCCTCACCCGCTCATGCTCTATCTCTCTGTCTCTCAAAAATAAATAAACAATAAAATTTAAAAAAAAAAGACAAAATATGGTGACACCATTGCTTTGATGGCTAATGGATATATGCTTGTATGTTCTTGGGTTTCCTAGAATGTAAGGTAGTATATAGGTTTATAATATGTGTACTATTTACAGAAATTAACTCAGCATAATTTCAGTAAATCTGTGCTCTTACTAGACAGTTATCACACATGTGCTATAATCTCGTAACCTTATCATTCAACAGATCATTCTTTTGAACTCCTGAATAACTGGCTATTCAGACCTGCGTTTCTTATGTCAAAGTGAAAAACAAAACAAAACAAAACAAAACAGTAAGAAGAACATACATTTGCATATCTTCTGTCACAATAATAGTTTTATATGTTTTGCAAAATATTTCTTTTAGAATTTTATCTAAAGCTGCTATAGCTTCAGACTTTTCTAATTATTATTAAGAACTAAATAAAAGAAAACTCATTATATTTTTGTTCATTTTTAAGAATGTCACT